TATAGTATATTCGTTATGAAATGAAATAAAATAAGATAAAATACCTTTTTAAGAAAACAAAGTGTGTATACTGAGAAAAAATAAAAAGCATTCAACTATATTAATGGGCAAAGAATAGTGAAAGAAGTAACACTGTTTCACGTAAGGTAGTCAATATGGCGGAATTAGAGCGAGAAGTTGCCAACTGATAACACCTTGTATTATTGCATCATGGATTGGACGTCTGGATAAAAACTTCCAAATCTCGTGTATATATAAGCGAGTCATTTCAGCATGCTTCTGTTGCTGCTTTCGTCACTCGCGCGCACTGCCGTGCGCTGTGATACTTACATACATTTCGCACACCGTCCTCGAAAGTGGCACAACTAAACAAAATAATTTGGTAGATTTTTTGCATAAATCAATTCGTAAGATATTTCTCAAATTAATGAAACAATGTTTTGCTTCGTGAATATATTCTCTAACTAACAAACTAATGTTATACTTTTTTTTGTTTCAATTGCGTTGAATCTTTACGATCCACAAGCACTTATACTATTTCCCGATCTAATTTTTGAGCTCTATGAATTAAGAATTGGAAAATCTAACACATCTTACTCAAATCTACCACATTTTTTTGCCGATTCTACCACACAAAAATTAAGAGGGGTTTGCACCAGTGTTGCCGCGAAGCATTTTTAGTAGTAGCCAAATTCCTTCAAAAAAAGGGCTAAAAAAGAGCTAAAAAAGTCGTTGTGGCTAAAAATGGTAGCTAAAATTGTTTACTTACATAATCATATATAAGTATACACGCAAACATTTTCAATAAGTAATGGTATAGAAAAACAATGAACCCTGGAAAAAAGCTAATATTTTATCCAACCAAAAACCTTTTCGTATAAAAGGGGAAATATACGACACCAGCTTGCTGGATCGATCAAGTGATTGTACCATCAAGCTCGAAGCATATAACTTACCACCATGCTGGTACAATATTTATTTCTTTACAAATGAGGTCGAGGAAAGATCGAAATGATTTGAGCCGAAATTTCATAATTTTTCTACCATTTTGTTAAACATTGTTTTTTTTTTTAATCACAACTGCAATATCGTGAACTTAATATTCCACAAACACAGCTTTGAAATTTCGGCCAAATTATTTTCTACTTTGAAAATTTAGCTAATTTCACCACTCACGACACCAGCACGCTGGTACAATCATAAAATTTTCAAATAGTTTTTGCAGTCGCACCAGCAGCTGGTACAATCACACCATAAGAACATACAAGGTCAATTGACTTTATGGGCCATTTAACTAATGAAGCATATTAGGGGCCAGTTTTTCAGTGCACGGCCGTGGTTCAAACTAAGTTTAAACGCCCGATCTGGCTGGTTTAAACTAAGATCAGCCAATCAAAAGTCAGCCAGCTGTTCAATTTAAACCCAGTTTACCTAATCTGAGTTTAAACTGGCACTGAAAACTGGCCTTAAGGGCGGTAAACTTATTTATTTTAAACTATAGTTAAATCGTTAATAGATAAGTTAAAAAACAGCCCTAACACTTATACAGTATGTATGTATAAAAACGTAAGGAACATACAATACATATATGTCAGTCTTTCTTAGTTTAAAAATTCATCTCTTACATATATGCAAAAAAAAATAGATCAAATTAAGCATATAAAACTTTTTCATGCCCAGTATGAATAAATTCTCCAAAGGGCTAAAAAAAGGGCTAGGGGCAATTTTAAATTTATGTGGCCAAAAAAAGTAAAGGTTTAAAACGGCAACACTGGTTTGCACACTGCTTACAAACAAAATACGGGCAGGAATTTCCGTATCTCAACCAGGGTACGAAAATAAACTATATTGTACGTTACTATTTCGTTTCGTTTATTACTTCAACAGTTCGGTACAATACGAAAATAAAACGGCTGAGTTCACTTTGCGATAGTACACTACAGTAGTTTAGTAGTTACAGACGAAACAACAAACGCAATGAATCGTGCAGAGAAAAATATATGTATATATGTAGTACATGTTTTTTAATTGAATTGGATATGAAAATTGACAGAAAAAAATATTTTTCAAGTAATTGAAACGTTTGCATACATATAAAACGTACCCTATGGTACAATTGTCACAAACGAAAAGCAAACGTTTCTCGTTGGGGAAAATTACAGTGAATCTTACAATTTGTTTCTGACTATGTACAAAACTGAACAAAACCACAAATGATATGATGATCGATGAGCAAATGGGAATTGTTTTGTACAGTTTATTTTCGTACCCTGATCTCAACCCTGTTTGTGTGAAATATTTTATTTTTATCAGTACTTATTTTTCTTTTAATCAATCTATGTTGAAATAAAAGTGAAAATAAAAAAAATATTTTGTCAGAACCCCCCAAAAAAATCCTGGCTACGGCCCTGCATAGCATTACATATCGATGGCTGAGTGGAAGATCGACCTATCTCGGCAGTCAGTTCGAAAATGCTCTATCTCAAAAAACTTTTCAAGAACACCCTATTTCAGAATTAGTTTCAAAAACGCCCTATCTCAGCTGCCGATTCAAAAACGCCCTATATCAGCATATTTTCAATACATTTTGAAGTGAGATAGGGCATTTTTGAACCGAATTTTGAGATAGGGTGTTTTTCAATTAAATTCTGAAATAGGGCGTTCTTGAAAAGTTTTTTGAGATAGAGCGATTTCGAACTGGCTGCCGAGATAGGTCGATCTTCCACTCAGCCATCGATATATAGAAGTCTGTTGGTTTTTGATTTCTACGTAAAAATGAAATTCTATGCAGTGCAGTGCCAAGTATGCATAACTGAGCTATTGGGGTGTCTAATTCATTTTACATGCTGTCGCGTTCTCATCGTTACGCTCTGGCTTATATACTTACGCTGTTTTAGCACCTGCTAACTCTCTGCCCATTCCTGATTATTTTTTCTCTTAAGATTAAGAATCTCTTGCCGATAGTATCGATACTATCGAATCGTGGGATCCAAAACTATCGAAAATTTCGAATGGTCCATCGGTAGATAGCGTCTATCCGAAATAGCAAATATAACTTCTATTTCTTGGACTTTATTGCTTTATCCATTTTTTCCTAAAACTAAATCGTGGTATAATGCTCAATAACACTAGTGAAATAAATATTTGTACGCCACAATAACAATAACATAATTCTTATTCTTTCAGATAAGTTCACAGATATGCTTTCGTGGAAAGGTTTCCAAGTGTCTACCAAGTTGTCATATGCAATTTATCTTACACAGTTCCCCGTGTTCTTCTTCAATGTGGGTCGCCGGCGACATATTCACCACTATTACAACTTCGTCTCCATCATTGTAAGTCACTCTTGCAGCCGTAAAGCATTTTGTGCGCAAATCTGAATTTACTTATCATCTAAAAAATTGTATGCCACTCTCCTTCTAGCTGGATACCAATGAATACATCTCCATATTCCTCGCCTCGGTTGCCCTTACAATATTTTTCGATGCACCATTCCAAAATATCAAAAAACTATTATTCAACCGTGCTCGTGCTCCGAGCAAGAAGCACCTGAATGTAACTTTGAGAGTATCAGCAGGAAACCTTTCTGATTCCGAATCGACACTATCATCAGAGCCGTCTACTTCATCAGTGACAAACACAACATCGTCGACAGCACCACCCCTAACAAATAGTTCGACATTGAATGGGAAAGTCATACATGCTCACATCGATTAATGATTCGTATTAAGTTTAACTTAAATGTCATTGTTTTAGCTTAAAGTGTATAATTACATAAGTCATTATTTAATAATTAGCGAGAGTTTTAGGCCATAAGTTTGTGATGCGTACTTCTAACTATCTACATACCTGTATATAACAAATATATTTTAAGAAGGATATTTTGTGTGTTTTATTGATATTCATGATCTATTCGAAAACTGTTTCGAACAAACACATATTTGGAACTTCTGCAATGATAGGACTAGGACAAGTAAGGTATTAGAAGCAATGTCAATTATTTCTGCATTAGAGTTACTTTGGTAACAGTAAAGACGACACGGAAGATGAGCTACTTATGTATGTGCATATGTATTTACATATATTACCTTCGCAGCGGAATTATCCCTAGATAGGCTCACCGACACGAACTGTAGTCCTTACTTAAGTCATTGACGGATTCCTTAATATCATATTATTCCTAAAAGAGCATGCAAGTCACTACGAAAAGAGTAGATCTCTTGTTGCAAACCACTCCTTGCTTATACAAGAATTATTGAAAAACTTCGCGAGATGCTTTAGCGAGTTGCCGTTAAAGCTATATTCATTAAAATAAGATGATGCTAAGAAGCATAGTCTGGTGAGAGCAACACCAGGTGCTTTGTTATTTTCCACACCCCCTGCACTTATTAAAATATGCTGCAACAAGTTTGGCAATGCCTAGCAACTATCAGGAGCAAAGAAAGCAGGGCGAAACCGGAAGCCGGTAATACGACCAAAAGATAGAACATCTCCGACTTGGTAATTCATCGTCTCGTGGGACAAATACTAGAAAATAAAAGTAAGAATAATAAAACCTCAACTCCAGTACGGGAGGCCGGCGCTCCCAAACAAAGCCCTAAAGGAGTCAAAAACTCCTCACCCAACTAAGCCACGGCACCACCGGACCTAACCAAAAGTAGACCTATGCGTAAGCAGATACCAGGTGCATCTGCACCGACCAACAGTAGGACTAAGGCACCCTGATCCGAGAAGTCCAAAGGTCAATGCTACACACAAAAGTATCACTGAACGGGAGACCTGCACGGCGAACGCCGCAAATCCCGGGCCTTCCTGCAGTGGGCTTGCCACTCAGCGAACAGCGTCTGGCCAGCTCACTGGGGGTGGACCCAGGAACATGGTGACTTGCAATAGCGCCAAGGACTTCGTCCGAACTGACCGACCGAAAGCCACCCACCAAGATCTACGTACTGCGTCTCGAATTCTTCGGCGCCAGCCACCTCACCGATCAGGGAGGATCAGGTCTCGGAGGAGGACTTCGTGAAGGTACAGGAAGACATAGCGTGGGCCAAGATTATACCGGACTTCGACCTTAACCTATAGGGCAAGACTGAGACTACAAAGCGTCAAAAATCCGTGGAGAAAGCCCGACCCGGGCACTGGCACAGAAAAGGGCCAAAACACAAAGTGCCTGGACTCGATCATTTGCGGAGATAGCCACGGACCGGAAGGATATTGGCGTCGTGGACGAAAGTAATGAGGAAGGCAGGATCCCGAGAAACCAATGGAGGTGGGTCGAAGCAGCCTTGGCAAAGGTGGAATGCAGATTAAGAGGGTGAACCCTGGACCACCACTCTCGTCCACGGACGCTGGCTAGTTGCAGGGAAATGTCAAGCTCAGGTGTATCCGGGAGCCCGCCTAAATTTGTAGATGCCAGGGACATCCCATCGCGTCCCAGAGCGAGATCCAGGGTACATGTAACGCCTTCCGAACCTACACATAACTGGAGGGTTGTTAACACGGAGCCAACAGAGCGAGCAACAATGCAGGTAGTCCTGCTCCTAAACGATGAAAGCCTGGAGACACTCGCAAAAGGCGTATAGGGTAAACTATGGCTTTGGGAAGACTACGCTAAAAGTTTACAAAACTGACATCTAAGACCTAGTAATCTTGGCAGCTTGTGTGGAGGTGGACGAGCCACCCAGCGACCATGAGATGGAATTTGACGAATGTGAAGCAACCGAGGAGCTGAGCGGGAACCCCTCTTCCAGCTCAAAGGCAGGTAAGCCTTACGGAGGCTGTATACGGAGAGTGAACTTCTCAGCGAGGACGAAGCCAACGCGACAGTGTTAGAGAGGCGAGAATCGCATGATGAAGGTACTACAAATCAACACTCATCCCAGTAAAGCCTCACCTGGTTCAACTGTCTTCAGGTTAAGTAGACATCGTTTAATACAAGAGGATCACTGGTAGGGTGGCGATAGGTAGCCACTAGAGCTGTAAAACTATCGATAGTCATCCCATTCGATGTTTTCGATAGTTTGCATTGAAACTTTCGATACCATCGATAGTATCTGATAATTTTAAAATGTGTTAACGAAGCTATTTATATAAACTTTAGTTTTGTTTAGTTCCTGAAGAATTAGCTAATTGTTATATAGCGATTTTCAGTAACTTTGTCCTTTCTCTTCGATTTTTTTAATATTTTAAACCGATAATATAAAAACTTAAAATTCCCAATCGTAGAAAAACAAATCGCTTGTAAACTTAAAGAAAACTGTATGTCTTACAAAAAACTTCAGAACTCACTCCAAAATTTTCGGAAAAGTGCATATTTCAAGCGTGTGCTACAAGAACTCAAATCATTGTACAAATAGCGTAACCGTACCCCGACTTCTACATGATTATTTATCCATTCAAAGTATCAAAAGGAAAGAAAGAATTGAATTCAATACTTGAATAGGTAAAAAAAAACAGCAAATCCACGTTGCCAAATTCTCATTTTCAAAAAATAAAAAAATTCAGTAGTACATATAATATACTTAAACAATCAGCCTTATCATGAGTTTCATTTTCCCCGAACCGGTTCAATTTTCACTCTTGGTTTCCATGGTTATACTATGGACGGATGACAAATTTTCGGGTGAATTTTTTTCAGGCGAAACTCAGGATAAGGCAGAATATGTATATTTCCTCAAACAAAGACTATCGATAGTGGCCAACGACCATTCGATAGTGCAAAAAAGTAGAACCATTCGGTAGTATCGATAGTACCATCGATAGTTTTACAGCTCTATTAGTCACATACTTCGCTAGTGAGAATATTCATATGTTTATCGTTAATCTATCTCACAATCTCAGTTAAAAGTTAAGTTGTATTTTAAATTCAAATAAAATCAATTTTAAATTCAAATAAAATCAAGATCCAAATGCCAGAATTGTAAATATGTATGTATATTAGAGTGGTTCAAAAATTTTTTTTTTTGGAAATTCATAAACGCTAACTCAAATTATTGTTATTTGTGATAAAAAAAAAAGAGAAATGTGTTTTTTTATTTAAAAAAAAGTTTTCTTTGAGGTCGCGCTGGTCGGTTTTTTATAAAAACGCTGATGTTCTTAATTTTTTTTTATTTTCTTGACATGTTAAAATGCAGCTAAAAATGTGGTTTTTACATATAATTACTCTGGTATTATTGGGGAACATTCCCTTAATTACATACCTCTCTTGGGCAGTTAGAAAGGGCCTAGTGGCCGAAAATATGCTCTCGAAAAGAGACTAGTAAAATTAAAACGTTGATACTGAACGATTTCTGGGTTGCTAATTAGGAATCTGAAGTTAGTTTTTCAAAATTCAAAATGACGGATCCAAAATGGCGATCCATTAAAAAAAAAAAAAATGATTGGATTTATTCGAAACCCGGCACTCGAGAGCTTTTAGGGTCGCCGATTACGAATCTGATGTCAATTTCTTTAAATTCAAAATGGCGGATCTAATATGGCGATCAAATTAAAAAGAAAAGTACTAAAATTAAAACGTTGAAACTGAACGTTTTAAATATTGTCAAGGGTTAAAACTCGTTTCCAGTGGGTTTTTGAGCTTTCTGATTATGAATCTGATGTCAGGTTTTAAAAATTCAAAATGGTAGATTCAAAATGGCGACCAACTTGAAAAAAAATTATTGGATTTGTTTGAAACTCTTAAACGATGTTTCCACAGCAACCGAATCACGTGGTTCGCTCTCTCAATTATGAACGACGAATCAACCTGTTTACACGACACATTCGTGATTCACTTTGCATCTCTGCTTTTTGTTCTTTGCTTTTGCTTAATGTTTAATGTGCTGTTTATTGTGCATTTCAACGGTGGAGAAAAAATTTGCAGTGGTTAATTAGCTAAATCAATAGTTTTAACGAATCTAGCTATTTTTTCAATGTTTGTCCTGGTGGGGATGTGTGTGGTCTATGTGTTTTGACAGCCGTTATCGATAAAAATTAGAGAAGACAACGATTTGTTCTTGATTCGCATGTTGATTGGATCTGAATCACCTACAAAAGAAGTGATTCGCTCTCAAAATTTTTTATGGCGAATTACGTGATTCGGTTTGTAATTGGGGCGCCAATCACGAATGAGAGAGCGAATTACGAATGGAAGAGCGAATCACTTGGGGTGGAAACTTCCCTTTACGTGCGTCAAAAGTTGAGTGTTGGCCAACGTTCGTTGGGTCCGCCGACGCAAGGGTTGCCAATCTGACGCTCTCTATGCAAACACACACAGTATACTCAACTGTCAGTTTCATCCTTGAGCGGAACGTACGCAAAGTACCCATTCTGACCCAAGAATGATAGAATACAAGATTGCGCCGTCCTGGGCGTTGACATTTGTGTACCACAAGTAAACAAAGAATAGAGCGAAAAGAAGAACGAGTTGAAACAGCGAAAGCAGTTCACTTTACTGCGAAAAACGTGTTTTAATTTTGCTAAATGCGAAATTATTGCATTTTTCACCTAATCTATTAAAGAACAGTGAACATTGTAGTGCACTCCATTGTTTTGCAATTGAGGCTGCTTCAGCAAACGTTTTAGTGCACTCCATTGCTTTGCAATTAAGGCTGCTGCAGAAAACTACAGCAGCATCTCTGCGGGACTGATTAGTTAACTTGCTAATGGAGGCTGCGTGAAGCAGAAACAAAATCATTGTGAGGAAATGCTGTTAATATAATAATAGAGAAACATTTCGGGAACGGCTTTGCCGTGCAATATGTACACAAAATGCAGCGATTCGTCCCAGTGCTACACTTGCATCTACGCTTCTTGCATCTTGACGGCTGTCGCAATTTAACACACAGCACTTCATTGTATTAGTTTTTACGCAGTCTTCAACTCAAAAATCACTCACAAATTGCAAATTAACATGATTTAAACTGATTTTTCACTTATAATTCAAATTTCTCTTTCGCTGATTTGTAAACAAAGGTTTATTTACAAGTTACCACAACTGTCAAAATCGGCAAAACCAAAGTAGCGGTACCACTGACGGCGCCACCTTTGTTTGCTGCACCGTGGTTCGAACCCTATTCGTCACCCGCATTTTTAAAACACAAAACTTGAAACAACAAAACTGCAAAGCTTTTTACCCCAAACTTCAAATTCAGAAACTCACAAAATGAAAAGACCGAATCTAGATATATCGATGATAAACAAACAAGCAAGCAAAAAGCTCTTCAAAGCAGGATGGGCAAATGGAGTGGTCATTTACGCCTATCACAGTCAGGTGTTTGCGCCACGTGAAGTGACCAGTCAGCAAAAGACGTTTTTAGTGAGAGAAAAAACTATATAGACCTTCTGAGATTGGAGGCAACATAAGTTTTGCCCAGCTGCATCCACTCGATGGCTCCCAGTCATTGCTGAACGAAGTATCCACCCAGTTTATGATGGTGGCTTCGACGGTCGAAATGGGGAGTGCTATAACTGGTTGCGGATCGAGGAATGCCTGGTCTGAGCGAACTGTGGCCAAAGGGTCAGACGTCCCGAGTTGCCCGGCACCCAGAGTTAGGCAAGCTCGTTCGTTATCTTTACCAACATAATTTAGTCGGGACTTGCATTGCCGAACTAGTTTTGAAGTACTTGGATAGAGGGCTGGCCAATGCCTTAAGTGCAGCTTGGCTGTACTTGTAGACACGTAAACTTCTTCCCCTCCACCTATTTTCCACCACGTAGTCTATGGCTTTGGGGGTTGCAAATACCTCAGCCTGGAATACTGATGCATATTCCCCAAGAAAAAAATTACCCTGAGTCAGTTTTGGAGCCATCAGTGAAGAATCGGCAATGTACGAGTGCGGGCTCAGTGCTGGAATTAAACCAGCATTCCCCCTCAGGGAACTCTCTCTCTCTAGAATCTCTTCAACAAAGGTAATGGGAGCGTACTATTCTGCAGCACTGAAAAGAAACAAGTGCTCAAAAATCTGCCGCCGCCAATTTTCGTTCGCATCGCCTCACTCAGTGTTATACCAACATCCGTTTCTTTTTAGTCTGCAGGTGACCTTTAAGGCTTCCCACGTATGATGACACAAAGTGACGATAAGTTCACCAGTGCGTCAAGAGCACTTTACACCACTAAAAAAAATTAAAGTTAAATAAATAGGATATCAAGCAACCATTTTCGTTCTTTACTATCGAAACCAGATGAATTTTCGTGGACCCCCACTTACAACTCGTAGACCCCCATATTTTTTTCACGCCAACGTAGACCCCTGTCGAGTCTCCCGTGGACCCCTGGGAGTCCACCTGCGACACTTTGGGAATCACTGGTATAAAGTAAAGCATTTTATTATGGGTTTTAATTTTGCTTATAACCAAGAAACATACATCCGGCCCTTAGGGCCGTTTTCTGAAGTAACCTGTAATTTTAAAGCTCACTTTATATTTAAAGGTTATATTAAAAATTAAGCTATATCTAAAGTTAATCACTTATATTATTGGTTTTTGACGTATGTATGTTTCTTGGCTGTAAACCAAATTAAAACTTTAGACACAATCATAATTTTTAATGCAACATTTAAGTATAAAGTGAGCTCTAAAGTTATCTTAGTATGTCGGTGTGCCATCAAAAAGAAAGACCTATTCAGATATATTTCAATATTTTCAAAGGCACACAGCTGAAAAAGGTCTTATTTTATTCTTTAATGTGTAACTAATATGTGTATAAATAAATAAGAACAATTTAGTTATTGCTGAAAGTGCAAAATGGAAAAGAACTTAAAATACTACCTTGTTGATAAGACAGATTTGACAGATTTTAAATTACTAGTATCGCCCAGTTGTCGAAATTCGTCATCTTTTTTTATACACTTTTAAATTTCACCTGTCACCAGTACTAACTCTTTTATGCGAATTACTATTTTGAAGTCCACCAGCATAATTTATAGCGAATTTACAGGAAAACTTAAAATCGAATTATGAACGTTAATACCGGATTGATTAATGCTAATTCTACCAAGTCTCCTCCTCAGTAGCTTTTAAAAATAGACCGAAAAAGGAACCTCGATTTTCATTTATAAAAAATATGCATATGTATTTGTATGTATGTATAGATGAGATGCCCATCACTGACTAATATGTCAAACAATTCAGACTGTAAATAAGTCCGTAAGTAAGGTATTGACAACATATGTTGCTGTGTCAAATTTCAGGACGTTAGCAT